TTGCCGGAGTGGGGCCGTTCTTAGTATAAGAGGCCAGATAACACATAATTTTTTCTCCAAAACCATCCTGACCTTGAGTATATGAGGAGGCAGTATACTTCCTTCTGATACATTTAGTTTGACACATTTTACATTGAGCTCTACATTTTCTTTTTGGGAAGTGGAACTTTGGACCTCTGACGTAGAATCCCTACCTAAATGAAGAGAAAGGCTGGCTTTTGCTGTTCTTGTTATGCCAAAAGCCCCAGTTTGGGGCTTGTGTTCACACTGGCTCTGTCTCTGCTTGTTCAGATGCAAAGTTCTTGAGAGGTAGGGGCCTAATTTTTACCAAAGTAGCAGCCAAGAGGAAATGGTGTGAATTAAGTGGTCAGTTATAGGGAAAATATGGTTTTTACCAGAAAAAAAAAATCAGTGCTATAATTTTTGCTGTCATACATATTTTAAGTACTTGAGTGGAGAAGCATAGTCCGTTGTGTTTATCCACTATTTTCCATTCATGGTGTCCATATTTCCTTCTGATACCATTTCCCTGAATGACAGAACATTCTTTAGCATTTGCCAGGAGGTCTTCTGGCAAAGAAGTTTCTTTTTCCACTTCATTTGGGAACATCTATCTTTCACCTTCATTCCTGAATGATATTTTCTTTGGATATAGAATTCTGTATTTATAGTTTTTTTACTTAAGCACTTTAAAAATGTTCTCTTTCCTTCAGACTTCCATAAATTCTGATATTAATCTGCAATAAATTTAAATTGTTGTTCAACTATGTATAATGGGTTCTTATTCTCTGCTTTCAAAATTTTTTGTTTAGTTTTCAGCGGTTTTACGATGTGTCTGGGTCTGGATTTTTTTGACTTTTTCCTTTTGGGAATTCACTAAACTTCTTGAGTCTAAATTGATATCTTTTGCCAAATTTTGAAAGTGTTCAGCCATTATTTCTTCAAATATTTTTTTTCTATACCACTCTTGTCTTTGTGGGACTCGGAAGACATGGAACTTAGTTAGACCTTTGGCTGTTTTTCCATAAGTCCATGAAGATCTGTTCTCCCATTCTTTTTTGTTTTTCAGACTTGATCATTTCTGTTGATCGGTATTCAAGTTTACTCTTCCATCATCTCCATTTTGCTATTTAGCCCATTCATTGAATTTTTTTGTTTTAAAATTTTTTTAACATCTATTTTTTTTTAGTGAGACTATTCACATTTCAAGAGTATTTTACTACCTAGATCGTGGTTATAGATGCTTTTAAGTGTTTTTCTCATAATTCCAGTATTTTTGTCATCTTAGAGCTGACACACCTGTTGCTTGTCTTTACCCTTGTGAGTTACTTAGATTGTCCTGAATCTTTGTTGAGTGATTTTGGATCATGTCTTAGATCCAATATTGAATATTATGAAACTCTAGGTCTTGTTTAAATCCTAAAGAGAATGAAAAATTTTTGTTTGTTTTAGCAGTCAGTCAATTCAAGTCCAACTTGCCTTTTGAAGGCTGTGATTGCTGTGTTGTCTTTAAAGATGTCTCCTTGCTATTTGGACACTTCTGAGTGTGTGCCATCTAGTGGCTGTCTTGTGACTTGGGCAGTGGTTTTCCCCGTATTTTAGTTTTGAAAGGCTTTGGTGTGCTGATAAGTCAGATCATGCATGTCAAGCTTGAAAACGAGTCCAGGAGTTCATACACAATTTTATGAGATCTCTTTTTTGAGTTTCCTGTGTGATTTTCCCCATATTTTCTGAATCTCCAGGGTTCTTCTTGGTCCTCTGGCTAGAAAGCATGGGTCTTAGTTCTGCTCTGCCATGCTGTTCCTGCAACTGTACCTTTAAATGATGCCAGGCATTAGGACAAAAAAGAAAAAAAGTAATGAGGAGTTGCTCCAAGCACTTGAGACCACAGTGCCTCTGGTTAGAGGGTGTGATTCCCTTCCTTCAAAGTTTTAGGTGTCTGTCCACTGCTGCTGTCACCATCACACTTGTTATCTCTCCTTCCATAGAATTATCTGGGGCAAGAGAGAACTTGGAAAGAAGATTTTCCTCACTCTCTTTGACCTTTAGGGGTTCCCTTTTTCATTTCTCAGAGCAGAAAGAAGAATCTACTTTAATATTAGTATTGTACTCTGGCTTTCTTGTGATTAGTATTTACTTGAAATATTTTCTACCCTTGTATTTTTGCCAATCTGTGTGTCTTTATTTAAATAGGATTTCTTTTAGATGTCCTATAATTGACTCACATTTTTATCCATTCTGACATTGTCTTAATAATTTAAAATTTAATATATGTATCGATAAGGTTTATCTTTCTCTTTTCCCTATATCCCATCTGTCATCTCCTTTATACTTTTCTCCTACCTTCTTTCCAATTAATTGTTCATTTTATTTTGCATTCCATTTTATCTCTACTCTTGGCTTTTAATTTTTTTGTTTGCTCTAGTTTATAATATACATTTTTATATTATAGTCTACAAGTAATATACTATTTTTTGTAATATAAGAACCTTACAATAATATAATTCCATTTCCTCATTCCTGTCCTACTATTGTCAAAATTTTACATTCACTTTTGTTATAAACTCCACTGTCTTTTGTTTTTTTTTTTTGCTTTAAACAATTAAGTGTCTTTTAAAGAAACTAAACAAAAAACTTTTCTTTCTCTTTCGTATAGATCTGTGTGTTTGTCTAGTATCATTTTTTTCCCCCTAGATAACGTAAGATTTCTTATAGTGCATGTCTGAGGGCAATTCTTTCTGCTTTTGTCTTGTAATGTTTTTATTTTTATTTCATTTTCTCTGCATGTAAATTTCTAGGTTTACAAGTTTCTTTTATCCTTTCAGCATTTTGAAGATGTTCCATTGTTTCCTGGATTGAATAGTTTCTGGCAAGATGTCAGGAGTCATGTTTATCTTTCCTCTCTAGAAGGTGACGTTTTTCTCTGGGTGCTTCTAAGATTTTCTCTTTATCATCAATTTTTCAACAACTTATTTATGATATACTTTGGTGTGGTATATGTGTGTCATTATCCACTTAAGGTTTTTATTGAACTCCTTCGTTCAGTGTGTTTATAGTGTGCTCATCAGTTTAGAAAATACTGGCCATTTTGTCATTTTTTTTTTTCGTCTGTGATCTCCTTTTGATACTCCAGTTACACATGGTTTAATCACATGATATTGTCCCTTTGAGACTGTACATTTATTATTTACTTTATTTTATACGGATTCTAATACTTGATTTTAAAGTTCACTAACTTTTTCTTCTGCAGTGTTTAATTTGCTGTTCTATCCAGTGAGTTTTTTGTCATACTTTTGAGTTCCATTATTCAATTCTTGTTTGTGGCTATAAATTGTTATAATATCTGTGTTCTTGTTCTATCATTTTTGGATCTGTCCCTATTGACTGATTTTTCTTGGTATGACTTACATTTTTCCATTTTATTATCATTTCTAGTCATTTTTTATAGTGTGTGGAACTTTGTCAGTTTTGCCGTGTTGATTATCTGGATTTTGTTTCCTTCCTTTAAAGAGTGGTAGGTATTTAAGTTACTTGTAGATACCTTTAATTCCTTTGAGCTTTGTTTGGGCTTTTTTGTTTTTCCTTTAGCTTTATTATGGTGCATCTGAAGTAGCTGTTTCTCTAGGGAGAGTTCAGCCCTATTACAAAGCTGTGACCTTCATGGCTCTCCACTGAGTTCCTGAGATGATTACTGAGGACTCCAGTAATCTGTCTCCCTGATTGCGAACCTTGGAAATTGTTCATCTTAAAACTCCCCTGTCCTGCCCAGTCTTCTGGAGTTTTATCCTATCCATGTGCCTAGTACTCAGCAAAACCTCAAGGAGGCCCCTGTGCAGATTTCCAGAGTTTTTTCCCTGCATAGCTGCCTTTTTAGCACTCTGCTATGTAACCTCCAGCCACCCCAGCTTCCCTAACTCTGATCTTGATTGCCTCCATTTAGCAATTATTTCTCCCTGTTTTCCTGCAATCAGGAAGTGCCTCAGCAAGCTCGGTTCATTGTAGAGATAATACTCTTTTCAGAGAGCATGGTCCTACACTATGTTCAGTATTTGAGAACTTTTTTTTGTATTTCATCCAGTTTTCTATTTATATTTGGTGGCTGGAAGCTATATTTTCTATTAATATCTGATACTCATAATTTTCCTCTTGCATGTTTTTTTATAAAGAATATTAGCATCTTTTAAAAAATCCTATTTGTGTTTAATGTTATGTTAAATGTGTAGACTGATATAGAGAGAACTGTTATCTTTAGACTGCTGAGACTTGATAGCCAAGTCCAGCAGCATTTACGTTTCTAATTTACAATTTTATCCTATTATGTTAGTATCTGTCTATTCCTATTTTACTAGGGTTTTTACCAATAATAGATATTTGTTTTCTTGGGCTTTTTTTTTTTTTCGTATGCAGGGGGTCATAATTTTTCTTTGATCTGTTAGTATGGTGGTTTTATGTTTATCGATTTCTTAATACAGGTTCTGTTTACATGTTTCTGGTATGAAATCCACTCAGTCGTCGTCATGGTTACTTTAAATACACTGCTGCATCATCTATGCTGATGTTTTGCTTTGGACTTTTACATAAATTATTGGATTACTTTTGATCATTTAGGAATTCAAAATTCTCATTTAGAATCTGTAAATGTAGCATAAGCTTGGAAAGTTCTTGAAAAGGGAAGAATTCTCAAAATGCATGCATGAGATAAATGCCTCATTGAAAAACTTGGTTCCTTTTAAGCACTGTAACACTTGTTTCAGAATAATCATTAAGGGAATAATTTTGTGCTTTTCATTTTGCTTGTATGACAGGAACTTTTTTGGCAAGGAAAAATAAGATTTTTTAAAATTAAATCTCAATAAAATGTGTTTGTGTTCTAAACTGTAATTTGAACCTGTACTTCTATGGTCTAGATTTATCAGGAAAAAAATTTAACCACCTATTTTCAAATGGAACTATCTCAGTTCTCACTGTTCAGTTACGTGAGATGTTTTCTCTCTTCACAGGTTCAGTTTAACTTGCAGTTTACAAAACCAAATACATCACCAGGAGATGTTCAGTCAGGAACAACTGTTAGTATGCCTCGCTCAACTGATAAGGAAAAGTAAGTACTTGTTGACATAAAATTTAATGTTTGCAATTTTGAAGGTCATCTTAAAGAATTTTTATCATTACTTGAAAGCTCTGATGCTGCCGTATTTATTTGTGACATTGTAAGTTGATGGTCCCTGGATTTAAGTGAGTCACTTTTAGTTGTAAGAAAGGTTTTTCATATTTTTTTAAACTGTAGGATACAGTTGGACATATAGTAAAGTTTTATTTTTTAAAAAAGATTTTTCTACATAACAGAAGATCCCCTTTCAAATATTCTTGGGCAAGTAGATAGAAATATTTTTAATTTTTACTAGTCATATGTTCTTGTTTTTCTATCTGGCTTCATCTGGCCTAAGCTCTCCATTTTTCCTAAATTACTGCTTCTGGTGTAAAGTAATCTGATTTGAGGTCCTGAAATGTATATATTTGTTATATTTAATCTCACACTTGTACAAGAGGCAGATCATCTAGAATTTATATTAATGGTAGAACACCATAACGTTTATATATTAATTACATCATACACACTAAAAGCAATTTTACTTGTGGAAAATATATTTACAGTACAAAATCAAACAATCGTGTCCATAAAATTAGGAATTTTAGGTATTTTTTGAGTTTTTTCTGTTTAGAACTGCTTTGTTCTTTGTCTGCTAGTAAAAAGTGGCAGTGGGTATCAAATGTTAAAACATTAAAATTGAAAAAAATACCAATTCACCTACTTAATTCTTTTTTGAAAATTAGGAAAAGACCATTTAATTTTAAGGTTATAATGTCATTGTTTTGCAAGAAGTTTTAATTTCTTGTAAGTATACTACTAGAGAAATTGTTAACACTGAATAGATTTGGAAAGGAGTATAGTGGTAGAAAGGGGAAAAATACTACACATACTTATTTTTTCAAATTTCTTGTTTATGTTCATCTGACCAGAATTTATTGTTACATGTGTATTAATATTAATAACTTTGAAGCACTCCAAAAATTTGAAGAGCTTTTGATCAAAGGAAAAAGAAATCATTCATTTAAATTAGGAGATAGGAAATAATATTGATATTCTCAAGGTATGCACGTGTATTTTTTTTCCATCTTGCATCACTTTTGTGCTGTTTTAAAATTTTATAGTATTCATGGAATGTTCATTTCCCCCACATTTTTTATCTCAGCTCTTAGAATTTTTAGTTTTACTCATAATTTACTCTTTGCTGTGGAAAAGGGGACTTTGGCTTATGTATAAATTATTTGCTTAAGAAAGCAGTGAAGAATGATTTGTCTTGAACAAAACTGGAATATATCTTATGGATAGCATGTATATAGATTAGAAAAACATAAAATTAACTACTGTAGAGAAAATAAGACTTTGTTTTTAAAAAAATAGAAAATAATTACTATTTTCTTTTAAAGTGGTGAAAATTTAGGGCTGGAATCCAAATATCTGAAGAAAAGGGAAGATAGCATTCCTTTACGTGGACTCAGCCAAAATCTCTTCAGTAACCCAGGTGGGAAGACATTTCTGAAATAGATAGTTCACTGTGGTTTCAATAAGTGTGTATATAAAGACTGAAGCAAATACAGTTTTTGTATCTTCATTTGCAGACCATCAGAAAGGTGGCCCGTTGGGAGCGTTACAGGCACCCTCAAAGCCAGCGGCGCTGCCTTCCACATCTTCAGCGTATTTCCCGGGACAGTTACCCAACAGTTAATCCTAGGCTGGCGTCATCTTTTACTTCTTATTGACATTTTAGAATTTCAGGTGGTTTAGAAATATATCAACAGCATAGATGAAATCCTAAACAAGCAAGTTTCAGAGTTTACTTGAGCAACTATATTAGATTGCTTGGATCTTTTAAGTACTGCTGTGATTTATGGCAGGCAGTTTAGAGCAGCAAATTTGTACTTGGGAACTGGTGAAGATTCTGAGTAAATGACATTCTTTAGTTTGAATATGGTGTTTTATAGAATAATAGAATGAATTTTCTTAAAGTAATCCTTAGAAATTCTCACAAGTTCTAAGGAAAGAGTTGATCTTTATAAGGGACATTCTAATCATATTGACTATCTGGGTAAATTAAAACCTGTTCAGATGTAATGGGGAACCAAAGAATGCTAATAATTAACATTTTTATTTTCATTGGCAAAATAAGTTTTAAATTTGCCACCTAAGAATTATGAAGGAAAGACCATTATCTAAGATATCTAGATTATCGATATTTTAAAAGGGAAAAATTACCTTCAGTTCTTCGTAACAAGTATTTTCCTTGAAACCTTTAAATTATATATTGAATGTCTATTAATTTTGATAAATTTATTATAAAGATAACTTAGTGTATTTACATGGCCAGATTAGGTATAAACTGCTTTAGTCATTGGAGCCACAGAGTTTACAGGATTTTATTGCTTCCTTGGAAGTCGATAATCATCTATTTTTTCTTTCATTTGGAGTTCTATTTTTTTTTAATGCAGTTAAATTTGTATTAGTGGGACTTTGTTTTAAAAATTAGCACTATACAAAAGCTTTACTATAAGAGCATCATGAATATTCATTGTATGTGCTTTTTTATTTCAAAATGGGTTTATTTTAATGTTTGCTTAATAAAGTAGGCAAAATGAATAACTTAGAAGTTAAAACTTTCTTCTCTTCCCTGTAAGTTTCAAGAATTGTCCTTTGGGAAAAGTTAAGTGGTTTTTAAAAATTTACCCAGAATCATAGGGCCCCATTTTTTCTTGCTAACAACCATTCAGTAGAGTAGCATTCTCTTAAGAAACATCTACATCAGTTTTTATTTGCAAAGATGGCTAATGTTCATGTGATCTTTAAAAAATTTCCAAGGACCATATTTTATAGATGAGGAGACATTTCAAGATATTAATGACATACCAACAGTTCTATGGTAAGACAAAAGAATCTTTGCTAATTTTTTTAACGAAGCCATGATATTGATACTTTGAAACTGTGCCTGCAGTTCAAGCTGTCTTAAACTAGGGAACCTAAAAAATTTAGTAACCATTATCAGGCAGTGACTTTTTATGTATAGTTCTTTTCTCATTTAGATATTGGTAAGAATACTTGGTTACAATAACTTGAAAGCACTTAATAATCTGGAAAGCAGCTTCTTGGTGATAATTTGCTTTCTTACAAATGTTTTATATATATATATATATAAAACTTTATGGACAAGGTTTGGATGGGGTACATGACACACAGGTAGCTCTTTATTTTTTTAAATATAGATCTCCTCTTCCATATCCACACATGGAAATTAGAATTTCCAAAAGATAGGATAGTGATCACTTTGCTGTTAACTTACTAGACTTTTTTATCAGATGTATATACACACTTTTGTGTGCTAAGTTTTTGCTCTACCTCTTTAAGTTTTATTTGAAATTGTTTTGCAGTGTAAATTGTACATGTGTTAATAATCAAAATGTTACATTTAATGTATTTCTGTAAATTGAGCTTGGTTAGTAAATATATTTTGAGACTGCGATATGTAAAAAGTATATAAAAACAAATAGGATTGATCTACAAAATCTCTGCTTAGGAAATTACTTCATTAATTTATGGACTAAGTTTTCATCTATCTTCCTACATGAGTATTTTATTGTGAAAGAAAAGAAATGGATTCAAAGAGAGAAGGTATAAAGCTTTGATTTGTTACTGTAAAAATGATTATGGTAACAAAGCCAAAACAGGCTCTATAGGGAATCACAGATCAAGACTTTCTTTAAAAAAAAATCATTAAAATATTTAATTTTATTAACAATATTTACATTTCTTTTAAGACCTTATTTAACCATTGTGAATGTTCCAACTTTAAAAAGCATTAAGCAATAACCACACACAAGATGAAAACAGTGTAAACTATACAATACTTTATGTACAATTTTTACAAAGTAACACTTTTTTAAATAATATAACTGGACACAAAAATATACACTTTTAGAGAAATTCACATCAGTAATTGTATAAAGCTCTCTTCTAGGGTCCTGAAAATTTAGGACAAACATTAGCTCTGTAAATAAAGTGTTACTGTGACAGTCCTGAAAGGCCACTATATATATTTATCTACATAATAGATATCACATTGACATTTTCAAGGCTACCAGCTTTACTATATAATTTTTAGGTTATGTATTCAAGTGTTGAGGTTCTTATGATTATGCAAACATTAAAAGAATAGTGGTGTAAGTAGCTGGGGAACAAATTCGAGCCAACATTTAGATTTACAGGCTCTAAACACCCCAACCGAAATTCTACATGACTGATATTTTCTTATTTAAAAAAAACAATAGTGAATAATGTTTAAAATAAAATTACTACAAATAAGCTTGAAACATGATTCAGATTTAGTACAATTTTCTTGAGTTTTTTTTTTTTTAATGCAAACAATTCATTTACCATTTCTTTACTTTAGTGCATCTGCATTAAGGCTTTGAATTATTTGACCCAAGTTTTTACAATAATAAAATCTGACTCAGGGTTTTACAATGTTAAAACAGGTCCACAACCTACTCTGCCTCACTGTGAGTCAGCATAAATAGTTAAAGCTCAACACCTGAAGGAAATGGTAGCAGAGACAGTGCTAGTATCTAAGAAGTTACATATATAGTTTTTAATTAAAGGATGTATACTAAAACAAACAGCTTAGTGGCAAGAAATTGTGCTAATAAACAAAAAAGGTTTCTTTTCAAAAGAAATTGTAACATCTTTGGAAAACGTCCGGTTCAGTTCTTTTTAGTTCCCACGGAGTTCATGCAGATACATTTCTTAAGACAATCTTAAAGTACATTGTAGATGGAAATGGAATGTACATCCAGAACTACAGGTGAAAACTAAGACCTGGGCGCTGATAGAAAGTCTTCCTGATTTCGGTCGTTACACGTTTGTGTCCTGGAGTAAAGGTTCTTTGGCCTCTCCTGGCGCTTGTGTACTGTGAGGATGGCTGTGACTGCCACAGTGCTTTCTCCAGCTGCTGGACCGTAAGCTTAAATTGGTATGTTCCGGAATAAACAAGGCAACAAGCAGAGCCAGCAGTACTGAACAGGCTCCAAAGAGAAATGGGGGACCAGGGATGATGGAATTCTAGGGACAAAAAACATAATTAGGACTTTAATGCACAAACATCTTTACTCATAAGAGGAGACTGCTTATCTTTTAGTAATAACTAGTTTCTATGAATTATAAGCCAATGACAACTCTCTCTTGTCATTAAAGCCATAGTTAGAAAAAGCATTCCCTTTTCAGGAGGAAAGGGAGACTATCGTAGCCTCAAAATAACAAGTGACCTAAGAAACAGCCAAAAGATTTTTTAAAAAAAAAAAGCCTATGCAAAAATATATTGTCATTTATTGCAGCACAAAATCAGAACACATTCTATGAGCCTTCACTTAATTTATTAGTTCTAGAGGAAAACAAGACAGGAAAATCTCAAAAGTAAAATCAAGTTACATACATTATTAACCACAGAAGCAGAAACAATAACCATTTTCCTTTGTTTAAAAAGTTACACACTCTAGTGACTGAAAGTGTGGAAAACAGAATGCTGTGACCATAGGAAGAATCAAACAGACCTTTGTTTTAGCCCCAAATTTCATTCTTAGCAAAACCTTGCACTGCCAATTTTACCTGTGTATAGACCACATTCTTTTTTATTTAAAACTACTTTAAAAGTTAGTGTTAAATTCTGCTAACTAAGCAAGGAAAATGATGAGCAGCTGGTATTGGCTAAAATGATGTTTGCCGTTAATATTTTCAGTTGTAATGAGGGAGTACAGCAAACAAGCAAACAAAGATGTTCACAGCATCTGACCGACTCCTCATACCAAAGGCAGCCTTAATCAGGGAACTCTAACATCACAGAAGTCTCCGATGAAAGACTAGTACAAATAGTTGTTACCTAGGGAGTGTAAAAGCAAGCAGCCAATTTCACAAAGAGGTGTATATAAAAGAACACAGTCCCTAAGTCTTTGGTTTTTAAGTGTTTTTCATCAATCTAAAATAAGAATGTCACATAATAGCTTTCATAAAAACCATTTATCATCTTTCAATCCAGCCAAATGTATTTTTATCACGTGAATGAAGAATTACCTGTTCAAAGTGGTGCTGTGGGCTCGTGTTTGTTCCCAAGTCTGTTCCTGTCATTGGCAGTTCTTTCAGTTCCACGTGGAATATGTAGAAAATGAATCCATAAAGAGCTGGTCCCAGACCATTGCACAGTCCTCGAATTCCTGTTATCATTCCTTGAACGACACCTAAATTGTTCAAATAAATTATCACTTAGTCCACCAGTGTTTTTTTCCTACCCTAGAACCATTACAAATAATCTAAAACCAAAGCTTTTATCAGACACTAACAACTTACTCTGATGGCATTAAAAATTACTTAGAGGCCATCAGCTCTACATAGTAGTGTAGTAACCTATCTGATGCGAATGTATGCTCACATATACCCATACGTAGGTCTAATGTAGAAACAAGTGAGCAAAAACACTTTATTTCCCTTTAAAAGTTCACAAGCACAGCTGTTAAAAACTGTCCCCAAGCAGCTATTTAAGTACCCATTTAGTTATAAATATTCTTTTTATATAGTTTGATGTTATCTCTGAGATCATCTCTCAAAATTAAAATGCAACTTGCTTTCCTGCATTTATCAACCAAGTGGCCACTGTCACTCTTTTGTAACACCTTTTTTCTCAGGACTCGATATCCTTTTCAGAGAATTATTAAGCATTTCAAGAATTAAATGTTCCCACCACAAAGCATAAGACAATGAAAGTACGTTTGCCCTGTCCTTAGGGAACTGAACTCGTAAGATTTTTAATTAAAGGGTTATGAGTGTATCCCCAGGTGTCTCACACATCATAGCAAACAAATAAATGGTTAGTGAATATAAGGTGGCCAGATTCAAAGTGAGAACAAGGCTATGCACCCTCCTAAGGAGAGACAGAACACAGACTATTCTGCGCTTGGAATAGTTACCACTGATTCCTAGCAACTCACCTTGTTGATCAGCATCGGCTGTTCGGGAAACGAGCGCACTGACGGCTGGAAAGGTAATGCTGGACATGGCCGCCACGGCCCCCGCAGCCCACATCATCCTGTAACCGAAGCCAGCAAAACAAATTACTCGTGTTCTCCTGTGTTCTGCCTGTGTTGGGGCAACGCTGGTTAATAACCATATCTAGGTTTTCTCACTAAATCTCAGGTAAGTCCTTTCTCTTGCCTCGCCTCCCCACGTCCAGTTACTTAAGTCTAACCATGTGTACTCCTCAAAAACAGAAAAACCACCACTTACTCACAGGAGCGGTGTGGGGTTTTAACATGGAACTGGGATATCATGTTCCAAACTGTAAAAGGACCTGCATGATTTTTGGGGGGGAGGTGGGGGGGCACTGCTGAGGGAGGGGTATGTGGAGAATGACGTATAGTACAAATAAAGAAAAATCATTAAATGCTTCTAAACGTGTGAAGCCAGTAACTTGGCAAGGTTCCCAGACTGATTCAGTGTGAAGATATCACTGATTTCAGCAAAACTTTGGGTACTCCTGGTTTGATGTATAAAGCAGTGTTTTAGATAAACTGTGAGCACCTCTTGCAAAAGCTAGACTAGAAAATAAAATGTCCATCAAAACACCCAAGTCCAAACAGCAATGATGTGTTCAGTTGTATGAAACAGTACAAACTGGAGTTCAGTCCTGTAATAACTGAGGACACGGTGGCTGTGGGAGCCTGATTCACCATCTGCATTCCCATTACCTCCCTGCAGGAAGCCAATGTTTTCTCAGCATGAAGCTGGGACCAAAATTGGATTTTGCTCAGATGCTTCTGGTTTGCCATCAGTAATAATTACTGGGGTTACACAACTTTTTCTTTCTAACCAAAAAAACAAAAATGGTAAGTAACATTTTCAGGGCCTTGTTACTATGGGATTTTTTTTTTTCCCCTAATGACACTGATCTAGATATTAAATGCTCATTAGAGATGCAACATCTCAATCTCATTCAAAAACCCAACCTGTCACTTTGCTATAAAAATGTCACCTATCCTCAAGCCATTCTAAAATATACAATTACGCAAGCACGAGATTTGTATTATATACATTTTGGGAAAAAAAAAAAGCATAATAAGAGACAGACTGAAGTCAAGCCTTAGTTGAGAAGCAAATACAAAAACTGTCAATTATATCTCAGTGAAAAATACAGAGGCAAACAAAAATTTTGAGAAAATTAAGGTGATTATACCTACCAAGGTTCTGAACCGAAGCCGTACCATGCCAGCTGTAATATTTGAAATCCCAGACCCAATAAAATGGTATTCTTATTTCCAATTGACCTCATAAGTAAACTCAAGACAATGGTCTGGGAAAAAAAAACAAAATGGTTTGTCAGAACACAAACTTTTTAAAACTACAAAGAACAAATATTTGGTGATTTTCAAGCTATAATAAAAGGACTATTATACTTTCATACATTTTGGCTTCTCAGCCACAATTACCTGAACATATCCAGGTCATAGAAGCAGATGAAAGGTCCCTCTGCTGATGCAGCCAGATTCAGGAGAAAAGTTAGAAAACTCGAATAGAAAGGAGAACTTCCTATTCAGTACATTTCTACAGAGAACCATTTAAATCAAGTTAAAATAGGGTCATAGGGTTCCAAGTAATGATTTTGGAGCTTTGAAAAGGTTTTAAGTCTAAGTCACTCTGAAATGCGTATTCCTCCAACTAAAAAGACAGTATCATTACATATCCTTTACCTAATCTATTGC